GAAGTATATCGTCACTAAACTTTTCACGAGAATTTTAATATATATATATATATATATATATATATATATATATATATATGCCAGTGTTATCCAGTCAAGTGAAATTTCACACACAATCCGCATTATTATCTATTTATCAGCATTTTTTTCATACAGAATTATTTGCAAATGTTGTTCTTGATAACATATCAAGAAATGTAATCTCTTGTGTATATATATATATATATATATATATATATATATATATATTCCGATTCCAAAACGTGACGCAGACATACGTCCATGTCGTTTTGTTATAAATTAAACAAATATGAATCATTTGAACAATTTATCTAGCATTTGTTAGATAAAATAGACAGGAAAATATTTTATTTGATAAAAAAAAATAGAAAACATTTGAATTCGAATCCGCAATAATATTATTCATTTATATAATGAACAATGGCCATTCAATTGATTAAATATCAACCGTCGATTGTTTCTATATTAATAATAAATAATATTTTTGTACGGTTAATTGTTGATATCTAGTTTTGCATTTGCAAAAAGGCAAATGATTCATTTGGGTGAAATAAATTTATTATCAGGTGATGTATGAGAATATTATATTTTTGATTTTGTGTCTTATCCACTTTCGATATAGTTATCGATTGTTATCGATCTTTTGCACTTTTATTGTTTATGAATATTTTCACGTAATCAGCAACTTTATCGCAACTATTTCGAGTGGGAATGGTATTTGCATTTTTTGAATTCATATCGATTAAAAATTATATATATATATATATATATATATATATAATAAAGTTCAAATCACCATGTTTGTCCAGAATCTGCTCTTAAACTGCTGAACCGATTTTAAATTTTATTAACTCATCGTCTGCATATATATTCAACTTAGGTTATAGGCTAATTAAAATCATATTCTATATTAGAAATACTAAAATTTTAAAAATTTCAATAAATTTTGACAGTTCTGAACTGAAAAAAGCAGTTGTCAGTATTTATGTAAACTTTTATATAAACCGATTTTTGATTTAGATTTGTTGTTTTTAGATTGATATAAATTTTTTGCATGATTTAAGCCGCAGCATTGCGTGGCCGGGCCAGCTAGTATATATATATATATATATATATATATATATATATATACATATATATAGCTTAAATTGTTTAGGATTTTCAGCCACAAGTCGAAAAAATAAAAACAGAAAGTAAATACAAAATCTTCTTTAATACGTTTCGAGCTATTACTATAGCTCATCATTCAGCTAAAATACAAAAATAGTATTAAAATAAAATAAAGTAACGAAATAAAATTAAACAGAATTAAATTTATACGTACCAAACCTGTTTAAAATTATTTTATGTAAAATTTGACAATTATAACATCAATATTTTGTTCCAAAAACAAAAAATATACATATATATAAAATTTTGAAAAATAAAATCGAGTAATCAAAATATTTCGAAATCAGACTTACATACTTTAATTAAATTTTAATTAAAGCAAAGTAAACGAACTCCTCTTATTTACACATTGTGAATTTAAAAAAATAAAAACAGCTTCAGCAAACCTTCTTAAGTCAACATTTTTTTCAATATATAAAATAATGAGATTATTTAAATCAAAAGTGTGTCTAAAAGTTTAGCATATGTTCAGAAAATATTGGTTTGTATTGATTTTTATTTTTTGAATTATACTTATTCTCTTAGATATATATTGTGAACTCTATCCGATATAGAATTTTTCACAATCATTACAATTCACTTTGTAAACGGAGTCAACAATTCTATTATGTGATTTTAAAGAAGTAAAGTATATTCAAATTTGGAAACTAAAAAAAGACCTTCTTCAGAAAATATCTTTTTTAAAAAATAAGTAAAACTGCCTAAAAATGGTAAAAAAATAATACCTTTATATTTATTTAAATAAGATGATGAATTTATTAAACTAGTATCACAAGTAACGAAAGGTTATTATTATTAATGTTAATTTTATTATCATTTAAATATTCAACAATTTTTTCAATATTTAAAATAATGGGATTATTTAAATAAAAAATTTGCATATGTTCAGATAACATTGTTTTGTATTGATTTTTATTTTTTGAATTTAAGCCGCAGCAACGCGTGGCCGGGCCAGCTGGTATATATATGTATATATAATATATAGTCTAATCTATACATGTCTGTTCCATTTATCGATTTTATTCGAATTATTTCACATTATACACCGAGAGTATCCAATCAGTTAATTTTGTGGGTGAAAATATTTTTCTACTGTTTACGACTTTTTTTATGATGCCCTCAAAATAATTACAATAAATAGTATTACTAGAATTGTCAAACAATTCTTTTTATATCAACATTTTTTCCATTATATAAAATAATGGGGGATTATTTAAATCGAAAGTGTGTTTAAAATTTAGCATGTGTTCAGAAAACATTGTTTTGTATTGATTTTTATTTTTTGAATTTAAGCCGCAGCAACGCGTGGCCGGGTCAGCTAGTATATATATATATATATATATATAATACATAATCTAATCTATATATGTCTGTTCCATTTATTGATTTTATTCGAATTATTTCACATTATACACCGAAAGAATCTAATCAGTTAATTTTGTGGGCGGTGAAAATATTTCTTTTGTTTACGACTTTTTTTATAATGCCATGTCCATTAAAATAATTACAACAAATAGTAACTAACAAACAAAAATATTTGGTTTTTACAATTGTCAGATTACCATAAACATGAATAGTTTATTCATATTTATGCCATTCTAGTCCATTTTATGTTTTTTTCTATCCGATGGCATTATGTTTTACTTTATTCCATTTAATTCAATTTTATGTTCTATTGTATGCTATTTTCTTCTAATTTGAATCAAGTTTTTCCAATTTTTAGAAAATGCTTCTATTTTTTGCATTTTATGCTATTTCATTCTATATGACATTGTGTTCTATTTTATGTTATTTGATTTTTTCTTATATTATACTTTTTTAGTATATCTATTAGAATCTATTTTTTTTGTACCATTTAATTTGATTTTATACTATTATGTTCTTTTTTTATTCAAATTCGTGACTGTCAATGCAATATTTCAACTGTAAATTGAGTTTTATAATATTTTTTGTGCCTAAGACACAAAGTAAATTGTAGTACACAAGGTGAAGAAATCAAATTTAAAATCGGTTCAGTAGTTTAGGAGAACATTCAGGACAAACATCTCGACACATACTAGTCGGTATAATAGGGATTCGTGGTATGAGTAATTGCGAAACAAAATAATTGGATTTCTAACATTCAACTGAAAAAAATTAACCCACAATTTATATTTCATCTATATTAATATATAACTTAATTCCAAGGGGCAATTCTGCCTCATAAAATAGCATTGTCATGGCAACGTCAAAATGTCTCTCTATTTGCTATTTAATCAGGCGTGTTTTACATATAAACAAGCAAGTAAAAATCTTATGATAACAGAATTCTAAATGGTGCAGTTATCATAAGATTCTTCCTTGCTTGTTTATATGTAAAATACGCCTGATATCACAGCAAATAGACATTTTTACAGTTTCACTAACAAGAAACAAGTATAAGATAGCGTTGCCATAACAATGTTATTTTATGAGACAGACATTGCCCGCTGAAATTAAGTTAGATGAAATATAAATTGTGGATTAAATTTTTTTTCTAAATCAGTAATTATTACTAGTGAAAGATGGATCGGAGACATGGACTCTAACATTACATATAATTTGTGTTAAAACATGGATCAGAGACATGGACTCTCATCGTCGACGAGAACTATTTTGAAGAAATTTACGAAAATAGGATTCTACTGACGAGCAAACTAATTTTTTATTAATTTGGTAAAACATGTATGGCACCTGACATTTATTTTAAAATATGGATAAGAGACACGGACTCTAGTAATGGTAACAAAAAAATATGAAAATAGGACTCTACTGACAAGCAAACTGAATTTTTATCAAATCGCTCGAAATAGATTAGTGAAAAATGGATCAGAGACATGGACTCTGAACTCAATTTTTTAAAGGTTTTACTAGAAATAGGACTCTACTGACGAGCAGAATGAATTTTTATCATTTTTGTCAAATATGTATTATACCTACTTGATATTTATTTTAAAATGTGGATCAGAGACATGGACTTTCATGGAAGAAATTTACGTTAATAGGACTCTACTGACGAGCAAACTGATTTTGCAGATTGGTATAGTGCTTTAGAATATGGATCAGAGACATGGACTCTCAACATATACCATTTGAAGGATTTTAGTAAAAATAGGACTCTACTGTCGAGCAATCTAGTACAGTTTTATTGTAAAAAACTAGTCATTTTTTAAATGTTACTATTTGCTAATTGCTCGTCAGTAGAATCCTTTTTCTCGTAATTATGAATCAGAGACATGAACTATAATTTCAAGGATTTTTAATAAAAAAATAGGACTCCACGGAATCTAGTACAGTTTTATTCTAAAAAACTATTATTTTTTATGGTGTTAAAAAATTGTAGTTGCTCGTCAGTAGAGTCCTTTTTCTCGTAATTATGGATCACAGACATGGACTCTCATCACAAGCCATTGAGAAAAATAGGATTCTACTAATGAACAAAGCCAACTTTTTATCAGATTGATAGAAACAGACACAACGACTCGACATACAATTTAGATGACTATCTATTTGCTGTGCGATCAGGCGTATTTTACATATAAACAAGCAAGAAAGAATGTTATGATAACAGAATTTTAGATGGTACAGTTGTTATGAGATTCCTTCTTGCTTGTTTATATGTGAAATACGTCTGATCGCACAGCAAATAGATAGACATTTTCACAATTTTCACTGCAAATAAACAAGCATTGCCATGACAATGCTATTTTATGAGACAGAATTGCCCAGTAAATTACAAACATTTCTAACTTGTTACATTTCATAATAAAAATATTATTTTTTTATTTCAGTTTGAATTATGAGTTACCCGAAACAGGCGCCTTACAATAATGGAGCAAATGCTCCACCGCCTCCGTATGGTTTCCAGGCACCTCCACCGGCTGCACCCCCAAGTTATTCCCAGGCCATGGGCGGGGTGCCCCCGACGAGCCCTTTTACTGCCGCCAAATCACGTAAGTAGAAATTATAAATGATAAAAACATACATCACTAAAACCATAAGGTTTCAACAATTAATTTGTAAAGCTATATTGTTTTCATATAAGTCCAAACCAGTTTCTTTCGAAAAAACATTCGATTCCAAACCAGTTTCTTATTCATCTCAGATAAATTTCTATACCAAATCTTACCTTTTCTTTTTTCTGGTGTGCTTCTATTTATTTTGCTCGTCAGTAGAGTCCTTTTTTATCTCCTAGCATTTAAATTGCTTGTCAGTAGAGTCCTTTTTTATATTTGAGGTTCCAGTTTAATTCTGCTCGACAGTAGAGTCCTTTTTTATATTTGAGGTTCAAGTTTTATTGTGCTCGTCAGTAGAGTTCTTTTTTATCTTCTAGCGATTAAATATCTCGTCAGTAAAGTCCTTTTTTATATTTGAGGTTCAAGTTTTATTTTGCTCGTCAGTAGAGTCCTTTTTTATCTTCTAGCATTTAAATTGCTCGTCAGTAGAGTCCTTTTTTCTCCATGCTGCTATTTTTTTCCATAAAATATTTTTGTAATTTTGGATTCAAAAAATTACCCAGGCTAAGCACAGTCTAAGCGTCACTCTGGTACAAATATTAAACCCAAGTGCGTTTAGACTGTTTAGGTACTGGAGCACTTTTCGAAGTCGAATTTTGTGAGAAAACTATTGAAAAATGTGAAAATGCCGCCGAGCCAAGCACAGTATAAGTGAAAATGTCGCACAGAATTATTTGCAAATGCGTTTAGACTGTGACTATGCGAGAGCACTTTTTCAATTTTGTGTAAATTAGGCAACTATTTTTTTTTTTGAAATTGAATTCGAAATAAAATGACGGACGATTGTTAATGTTCTGGAGATAAATTGAATGATTTATGATTTACATTTGAATTCAACTTCTTAGGTTGGCGATGTATGAATTAGTAAAATAGAATTTTATTTTTGAAGTAAAACTTCTTAAGTCGCGATGTGATTTTGATTAAACGTAAAAGAGACAACAGTATATAGTGAGAAAATGAGAGAGAGATATATAAAACACTCATGCGAAAAAGAGCAACATATACCTGACAGTGTAGAGAGTGACAGAGTAAGATACATGAGTATGAATGTAACCTCCAAAATTTAGCAACTATCTTTTTAAATGTAAATTTTTGATAAAAGGATAAGAGATACCAATTTTTGTTGTTAATAAATATTGTAGATAATTTAATTGGCTATAAATTTGCTGAATATTGCAAAATGGTGGAACATTTCGTTTTGAAGTTATAAATAAATAAATAAAAATCGAGCTGGTCCAAAAGTGTGAAGCAAGATATACTGATGCAACCTCCAAAATTTAACAACAACCTGTTTTATTGCAAATTTTGGGTAAAAGGATATGAGATAGAAAATGTTGTTATTAAAAAGTTGTAGATAATTTAATTGGCTATAAATTAGCTGGATATTGCAAATAATCGGACAATTTGTTTAGAAGTTATAAACAAATAAAAATCGAACCGGTCCAAAAATATAAAACGAGATATATTAAAATGTAGCCTCCTCAATTTAACAACAATCATTTTAGTTCTTATAAATGCCGCCACGTTAAGCACAGTACAAGTGAAAATGTCGTACAGAATTATTAGCAAATGCGTTTAGACTGTGACTGTACGGGAGCACTTTTTCAATTTTGTATAAAATTAGGCAACTATTTTTTTTTTGAAATTTAATTCGAAATGAAATGACGATTGGTAATGTTCTGGAGATAAATTGATTTATTTATGATTTTCATTTGATTTGCTCAGATATAACAAGATAGCCTTAAGGCACGATGCCATACACCACTAGTTTCTTACTCATTTATTTCCTTTATTTCTTACTTGTACAGTTATGTTATAATATGCCCTTTATTTTCAATATTTGTAATTCTTTTTTTATTTCTTTTTTTTAGCATTCCCTCAACAGCAAACCAGTCCACCGATAGTGACCACAGTGGTCCCCGTAGGTCCACATTCTACCCACACAGTTTGCCCTACGTGCGGGGCTGAAATCGACACTGCCACTACCACCGAGCCGGGAATTATCGCATATGTCAGTGGCGTAGTTATTGCCTTGTTGGGGTAAGTGGATTATTAAACTACATATTTGCATTTGAAATTATTATTAAACTGTATCAATTTGGTATCGGAAAAGTTGCTATTGTGTCCAATCTTGGACCTTTTGTTAACTGAAAATGAAAATTTTTGCATTTCTCGACGTTTTGAAAGTTTCTGAACATTTTTAAGGGGCATACCTAAGAAACTAAATGGATGTGTGGTGTGTGTTTTGTACTCGTATGTCCGCATTTTTTCGTCCATGTTTTCGGGCGCACGGATAAACCGATTTGACTAATTCATTTACCATTCGATTCCTATTGATAGGGAGATGTGCTGACTAGTTTTTGGCAAAGGCAGGTCCAGCAGTTACGTAGATATAGAGCAAAGAGTGCAGAAAATAGAAATCGAGTTTTTGGGAGAACGGATCATCCGATTTGTATGATTCAAAAAACATTTAGTTTGTAATGACGGGAAAAGGTATTAGTTTTTGGCAAAGACAGGTCCCGTCATTTCGAAGACATACAGAGCAAAATGTGTAAAAAATGGCAGTTTTTGAGTGAACTAAGCGTCCTTTGATTTGAATGATCTAAAAAACTTTCTGCTTGTATTGACAAAACAATTGCTTCTGAGGATAAAAAAAATTATTACATCTTTTTTTATTTTCCATAAAATATTTTTGTAATTTTGGATTAATTAAAAAAATTCGAAAAAGTACCCAGGCTAAGTACAGTCTAAGCGCCACTCTGGTACAAATGTTTACCCAAGTGCGTTTAGACTGTGACTATACGGGAGCACTTTTTTTTAATTTTGTATAAAGGCAATTATTTTTTTTCAGCGTGATGACTGACATAGAGATCAACGTGTTTAAATTGCTCGTCAGTAGAGTCCTTTATCTGTTTATATTTTTTGTGTCCATTAGTTTTTTCTCGTCTAATTGATTTCATCACATTTTGTTAATTTTTTTTTATTTTGCTCGTCAGTAGAGTTCTTTTTTCCTTCAATGTTGGTTTGTTCGTCAGTCGAGTCCCTTTTGTATTCCTCAAGCTCGTCAAAGAAGTTTAGTCCATTCTCGCAAATATTTTCTTTTTATTCTAATTTTAATTTGCTCGTCAGTAGAGTTTGAAAATTTGAAAACATACACTTTGCGTGCGCCTTTATTGTAAAGAATTCGCTTAATAAAAACGGCGGAAGCAAAGTTGTACACTAAATATTTATAAAGTGTTGCACTAATGTAATATATATGAACATAACTTTAAAACCATTCGTTTAATATGAATGATGTATTCGACGAATTTGTTCAAAATTAATCATCCTACAAATGTTTCTAACAATAAATGACTCTAAAGCAACTCGGTATACTTCAAAATTGCAATTGAAATCTAACAAATAATTTTTGCATAAAGTATACTAGTTTCAATACAAACCGAACTTATTCAAAGATTTTCTACATAGCATTTTGTATGAAATCTTGCTTTAGATTTCAGTATACCTAGTGCATACTTTTACCTAGTCGCTTGTAACTTCTAAACCATTTGTTTAATATAAACGATGTCTTTGGCAAATTTATGTAAAAACAAGTCATTAACAATATTGTCTAAAATCATAAACTCTACAGCAACTCGGTATACTTTAAAATGCAATTTGAAACATACAACTTTGCTTACGCCAATATTGTAAGAACTCGCTTAGTAAAAACGGCGAAAGCAAAGTT